GGGTGGACTAGTTCAGGGTCTCTCCTTGCAGATGTAGGCAGGATGTTGTCAAAATCCACAATCATCTGAGGCTTGACTGGGGCCAGGGAGTTGGCTTCTTGGATGATCCTTTCCCATAAAGTAAACAATCCCAGAAAAACAGGAGGAAGACACAGTGTCTTTGCAGCCTTTGACCTCATACACTACTACCTCCACTTTACTCTATTTGTTAGAAGAAGTCACTAAACCCAGCCCATATTCCAAGGAAGGGGAATTGGACACCATCTTTCAAAGGAAAGGTTAAAAAAATTCTTTGGAGACCTATTTCAAAGCCTCATCCCACATCCCCACACAAACATATCCTCTTGCCTCTTGTCAGATAATCTCCACTGCATTATTCAATTTTTCTTTGCTGCATAACTTTGATAATATTATTATATATATGTGTGTCAATTATAGCTTTCTCCACTATCACGTAAGACCTATGAAAATAGGAATATTGCATTAATACACACTGAATATTCAACACCTAGAATAAAACCAGAAACAGAGTAGTTCAAAGATTATTTTGTTTCCTACTTAAGTGATCATAGAGATGAGGTCATAAGTTACAGGAGCAGAAGCAGGCTTGGAAACTAGTTATTATGACTCCTAACCTAATATATTTCCCAATATTTTATCTTAAGGGAATTCTATGGTTGACTCTAAATCTACTGTGATTCTGAGTGAGGAAATCACTATCCTCCACGAAACCACTCCAACTGAATCCTCTTCTATGCTTGCTAGGTCCAAAACAAACCTTGCTGATAAAAATTTAGGACGTTTTCTCTGCTTCGTGCACAAACAAAAGCCCTCCCACCTTTGAGGAGCCAGCCCCAGAACCAGGTGGGATGAGATACTCTTGCTAGCTCAATATTTCCTTCCATGCTTCTAAAAGGGAGGTTAGAAAGTACTAAAGCAGTCTGGAGCCCAGGGTTTAGTGCAAACATTTCATATGGATTTAGGAGTAAGAGACCTTGAATGCTACTTGCATTCACTCTTTTTTATTTAGGATTCCACAGCATTTCTAAAGCCAAATGTTGATGGTACTTGGCTCTGGAGAGTAAGGAAATCCACATGCAATTAGGAAGCAAATAGTAATGGAAAGTACACAGGACTGGGAGTCCAGAGTACACCACTAATTTGCTGAAAACCTTATTTTCCATACCTATAAAATGGCAGGGTGTGGACTGAGGAGGATATAGATAACTTCAAATTCCAGCTCTGTCTATACTAGTTTATAGTTTAGAGGTGACTTAGGATCTCATAAATAGTGTTGCCAACTTTTTACCAATAGTTTTAATGGGCACATTTTTTTGGGTTGGACATGCATTTTTCTCTGCCTTCTCTAGACTCTTGGAAGAAGGTTGGAGAGATTACATGAAAGGAGAAATAAAGCATGTCTCTAGAATCACTGTAGGACAGAAAAAAGTGGTTGGAGTCACTGAAGGCAAACTGCCCACTCCACATAAAACATGAGGCACAGTGCAACCTTATATCCTTAGAAGAGAAACTGTAGGTCTTCTCTTTCTCCTAGTCATTGTGGAGTCAAGGACATCAGCTCCTCAAACTTAGCCCCAAGGTGAGTTTAACAGCTCACAGCAGGTGGACCGTCTCACTATTCCACTTGACACCCTTTTATGAAGCTTCTAAGTCAAGTTCAACGAAGTCCTCGTATTTAAAAACCACCTCATTAAACCTGGTGTCCTGGTGATAGGACAGACAGTGGTGGGGATGGAATGGGGATAAGGAGTTGGTATTTGTTCTCTAATTAATTTGCAGGAGGAGTAGATATTTTAAGACCTTCCACCTGTGTGTCTGTCTCTGCAGAGCTGGGGAACAGCACCCCTCAAACAATAAAAGTGATGGTGAAGAGGAAAACAGTAGCTACTGTGTTTCAGCCCTGGCTGCAGGAAACTCTTCCTCAACATGACAGCAGAAAGAAAGGACATGGGATTGTCTCCTCAGGAAGGTCTAGGAAATCATATCCTGCCTAAAGGTTTGGGTTGTAGAGCTGCTACATTTCAACCAAGAGCTCTTTTAGTAATATGGAGAAGGAATAAAGAAAATATATTGGGTGGAAGAAAATGAGGGAAAGAACATAAAGCTCAGTTCTTCAATTTGCATCCTGTAATACTTGTATACAAAAGCTGGAAAATTACAGAACCGAGAATTAGAAAGGTCTTAGAGATGTACTTCAAGATCTTCCTGGTTTAGATGAGAAAAAAACAACACACAGAGGCTTAGGGATATATTCACAGTCCAGTGGTGTGAAAAATCACACAATGGGTAGGAGCTCTGCCTAGTCTCAGTTCAATGAATGGGATTGGAGAATGGAAGAAACAAGTGAGAACAAAATCAAAGTGCTGGCTTTAACTGATTTGGGGGAACTATGGTGAATTGACAATACTGAGTGACAAGAGGGTTACGAAAAAGATAGGATCCCAGATGTTCCTAGGCTTTTACCTTGGAGGGCTGGGTGCGTACTGATGTCATTTATTAAGATAGGAAGCACCAGAGGAAACCAGTCAAGAGTTTGAGACTCTGTCTTATTTGAGTGGAATATTCATTTACAATGTCTATTGTAATGTCTACAATAATCAGTTAAACGTGGTGTTAGGAGAAGGGTAACAACATGAGAGATATTGTGAGGTAAAAATATGCAGGTGATAACTGAACCCACAGGAGTGGATGCAGGATATTAGAGAAGGAATTTGAAAAAGAGAGAAGAACAGAAGGTTCTTCTGAAGAACAGAGGTTCAAGTGGAGTAGGAGAGAAACTGGAGAAACTGAGGAGTATCCAGAAGAGAGGGGAAGAGTCTGGATCAGGAGATGTGAGGGTCAAGGTTGTTCACTATAACACCCAGCAACTGTGAAACCCAAGTATGCTTAGCCAGGCTCTGGGACCTCTCCCCCTGTCTTTTGGTCAGGATAAGGCAGAAAAATCTCCAGCCCATTTGCTCTGCTTTGTTCTCCTAGATGTCCCAGCATAAAGTGTGAGTTTTCAGATGTGAAGGGAGTGCTCCCAGATGTAGCCCATGTAGATGTCTGTACAATCAGCCTCCACTCAGAGAGTTCCTGAGTGCTCCATCCGATCCATTTGCTGAGTCCTTCATTGGGGTCTGGTGTGCTGATTGATGTGTCTGTCTCTTCAGGCCAAGTGAATGCTCAGTGGGAGCTATTATATCAGAACCCCCTGAACCTGCTTGGAAGACCTAGAGCTTTGCAAAAAAGGTAATAGGAAGTGAGCAGAGAAAGAGTAGAGAAGAGCCAGAAAAACAGGTTAAAACCAACAACCAAATAAAAGTCTCTGCCTTCTAAGCCTCAATTTCTTTCTGAATTCAGTAAAGCATCATTAATAAATGCTTACTATGACCATTAATAAATGATGCTTACATCATTAATAAAAGATGCTCACACTTACTATGTGACTTGGTGTCAGTTAACAAATGAAAGTATGATTTCCAAAGAAATTTTAAACCTCTAGATTTAGTAAGCCGAGAGAAGGTGCAACACACACCATGTGACAAAGAGGTCAGGACTTCAGATGAGCCCTGCAAACTGGTGATTCCTCATCAGTGGGAGAATGGGGACATGGAAGTGAGAACACTGGAGTAAGAGTAAGAAATCTAGTTCTAAACTAGGTCCTGTGCCCAGTGAATAGAGAGTCCATGGGTTATTTGGGTATTTCTATTCAAAAAAAGGTTTCAAATATTTCCCAGAAATAAGGAAGATCACTTGCATGTGGCATTGGGTTCAGTGTCAAACACTGCATATGTGCATGTGCGTACATGCACACGTGCGCAGGTGCACACACACACACACACACACACACACACACACACAGTGTTTCCTGAGCAGGGCCTTATAACCAACCAGTTAAGGCATCATTCCTACCAAAGTGAAGATGATTAACAGGAGTACAATACTACTGGGAATTAAAAAAGGGAGTGTGCTTTCTGAAGACCACAGATCTTAGGCACCGCTAGTCCATTGAGTGGAAAAAAAAATGGACTCTCAGGAAGCTGCATCAGCCACTTGTATTCTGTGACCTCTGTTGTTTCATCTGCACAAAGAATGGAGCAAGATGGTGTCGCAAGACTTCAGCCTGTTCTATCATTCTATCCCAAGTTTAATTGGATATAGGCAAATGGAGAACTTAGTGATTTGGAGCACAGGTAAGTGCCACTGCATTGGATGAAAGTGCTACAGGATACCTGGAAGAATTTGGCACTGGTTGTGTGATATTTTTAAAGTAATTGTATGTGTTTTAAGATTTTTAACAATCCATTCTCATTTGGTCAGATACTAAATTATTGTTCAGCATTCATAAGAGTAGAAGTCACATCTTATTTATTCTTATAAGAATGTGTCATAAGGATGTGTCCCTATAGAAGCAAAATGCATATTCCACGGACACATTTAAGGATCCTAAAGGTGACTATATCACAAAAAAATAAGAACAAAATACTCAAGTGTTTAGCATAACAGAGTTTAAGACCAAACATGTAGCACCTTTTTCTTCTCTTAGAAGACTATTGTCCCAGATTGCCCCCACCTTCCCAGGCATTGGTTTTCTCAAGTTCTGGCTTCTCTAAAGCATTTCAAGAATGACTGCCATTCTTAATGATACCTGCTCATTTTTTTTCAAAATACAAAGTTGAGCAAAGAATGCGAAAAATGCACAAGTATGCATTGATCTGAAGAAGTCAGGGCTGTCCCAAAATATTACCCCCATAATTTTCCACTGTGCGTTCCCAGATGAGTTGGATGGTACTTATTTCATGTCTTGTCTAGCCAGCTCTTCAGGAGGTATGGAAAATAAAAGTGTCCAGTCTGGAATCTCAGACCTGTGAACTGCCAAGGGCTGGTAGGTTTTCTCCCAGGTCCAATCCTTATCCTTAAAGCAGTCTTCTGTGCCAGGGACCCATCATCTTGATCACAGTTCAACAATATTGGCTGCCTTGGCAGAGCATACTCACATCAAGCTCGAATGCAGTGGAGTCTTAGGGAAGAAGCAGGACAAATACTTCATGTTACTTCTTGTCCTCCCTGCCACAGCTGACTGGACCTTAACACTGGGTTCCGGGGAAGAAGTATATCCTGAAGCCATCTGGCAAGACAAAGGAAATATCTTTTCAAATTCTGCTTTCCTCTGGAGTACTTACCCAAGATAGATTCATGTTTGTCTCACAAAAAGAGTAAACCATAGTTTCTGAGGATACATGGCTGTAAGGCAGTAGGGGCAAAAGGAGAGAGATTAGAAAATCTCTAATGGGATGGTTCTTCTGCTTCCTCCTCTCACTTACTTGATGTCTTACCTGTAGTACAACTTCTGAAGTTCCTCTTTCCATATCGGTAATGTGGGAGTGAGGCCGTAACAAGAGAGAAGCAGTGAGAATTTGAGCAGTCCTGGTATGGACATTATATACAGCAAAGTCCTCAGTAAAAAGGCCCTTGACTGAGTTTTACAAGTTGATCGTCATTCCAATTTAGGACATTGTAATTCATGTACTTGACTCTTGCAGTTATTAAACCCAAAGTGCATGGTATAATTTCTTCTTTTTTCCTCTGCTCACTCCTATAGGGCATAGTATATTTTAGTACATAGCTACACATCAAATAAATTTGAATTGGGTGTAGTGTCACATAACCAAATTTGGAGTACTTGATAAGAGACTCAGAATATATGAGCCAAGAACCTAGCTAAAGGGTATATGTAACACCAGACAGTAAGGTCTGGTAGTAGCAGTAAGGATACTCTCTCCAGCCTTTGGAGCTTCCTGCCCTGACTAAGTTCACCTGTAATGAAGAGAGAATACACGAGTGGCTGGTCTCTGTCTGGCTGTGTGTGGAGGTTGCCATGTCCTGGAGGCAGGCCCTGCCAGCCTGAAGATGCCACCATATCATCGTTACATACTCTTTTTGATTTTGTAAACTGATGTCTGTTAATCTCCTCTTCTATCATGGTGTGAAATTAATTTTGAGATAGAGTAAAATTAATCAACTACTGTGCCCACTAAATGACTAAAGAAAAGGGAAGAAAGTCCTCAAGAATCTGTGCCCAGGAGAAAGCATGACAGATACAAGCATAATATGGGCTTACATTCTCTGGTTTTGGAACAGTTTCAACCAAGCATATTTTTCCATATTCAGCTAATGAATTTATCAATGGATGACTATAAGGCTAACCCTAACCCACAATCTAATCACCTTCTAAACACATGAGATTTCTTTGCAGGGGGCATTTTAGATCTAGACCATAATATTAAGAAGGATAATATGGACTTGTACTTTTGTCTCAGGTACAATTTCAACCAAACGTCCCTTTTCCACTATCCATTCCAAAGTCAGGTAAGAAGATAAGAGGGTAGTATAACTGAGACAGGTGAAGACAATTAGTTTGAATAGCTGGTTTCCATCGCAAACTTTCCAAACACTCAACTCAGTTAATCCACTGCAGGCCACACAGAAAAAGGTCATGGCATGCCAAATAATTGGGACTAGACTTATATAGTTTCTCTTATACCTTAACTAAATAACAAAAACATCAAGGCCACTCCCCTCCAAAATATTCAATCTATAAAATTATATTATAACTAAAACAGATCTTTCAGAGGCCAAAAAGTGAATTTCAGTACTTTAGCCCCTGGACTTACATTTCTTGTCTTCAGAACAGTTTCAACCAAAAGTACTTTTTCCACATTCAACTAATGAATTTATCTATGGATAAATCTATGGATGAGTATATTGCTAACCCTAACCCACAATCCAATCACCTTCCAAATGCATGAGACTTCTTGGGGGCATTTTAGATCTAAACCATAATATTAAGAAGGATAATATGGATAATATAGGTGCTCCACCTATAGGTCAGACTCCTTGGCATGGAACATTATTTGTGTGGCTATAGCTTCCTGCTGTGCCTCAGCCCCAGAGCTGGGAAATTTCTCTTCTGTTATTTGTTGACTTATGTTTTAGTGTTTTCCTTAAGGTTATGGAGAGTTGAGATCTGGAGGTGACAGGAGGGCTACTGACCTAGAGACTTTGTGGCACCTGGATTTCTGTGCCTGACCACTTGTGTACAATAGATGAGAATGCTCGTTCATAGGTGGGCAATGGTCTGGCAAGACAGGAGGAAGAAGGAAAGCAGAGAAAAGGTAACCTAGGATGACAAGTACAAGAACAGAGCTCCCAAGGGGTCCCAGGACCCAGGCAGAGGGGCCAGATTATCAAAGATCCCCACAGTTAGAAACTGGCACCAGGAAGTGAACGTAAGGGTGATTAACCCTGCAGCCCAGGGATGACCTATTGTGGACCAGCAACTGAGTAAGCCAATTCTTTAGGTACATGAATTGAGAACTGTGGCTGGCACACTCCCAGATTTTTGAGATTTCACCACTGTCTCTGGTATATTGGCAAGGCCTACCTAACTCTCTCCCTTCTCTGACTTTCAAGAAAGAAATTCCAACCTGTCTGCTTTGTCTGAGAGACTTCCTCTGTGTTTCTGGGAAATGCTGGCTATTGAGAGGTTCCTCTAAGCCTCTGGTCCTGTCCCCACAACCCCCATTCAATCCAGATACAGAAAAGATCTTGTTCCTTGCTCCTACCTGATAGACAATCCACCCACCTCCTCCTGGGCAGACTGGCACATTCTCACACCCTCCCTCTCCACCCTCCTTCCCCACCTCTCTCTCAAGCTTGCTCAGCTAAGGCTAGAGCACTCAACTGAACTAGGGAGGGCTGGAACTATTTTAATCAGAAGCAAAAGGGATCTAGAACTTTCTGGTAATTTTACAGTGTGTTTCTGCTGAGTTACGTCCAACTTTCCTGGTCCCTATTTTTCCTCTTGTTCACTACTTCTGCCCCCCATGATGTTCTTCCTCTTGAATTTCAATATCAACAAGTGTCTCCTGGGAAAGGATGCACTGAGACAGTGATACTGTCACCACACACGCACACACACACACACACACACACACACACACACACACACACTCATTCAGACAACCACACAGGAACCCTCCTGAGATTCCTGGGAAAAGTAGCTTGTATTCAATTACTTCTCAAGTTGCTCCTTAATTTCTTTTCCTTTTAAAGAAAACTAAGTTATGTCAACAGAAAACAATATGTCATCTTTGTTTTAAAAATTATGCATAAAAGTAAAGATTAAACAAATAGAAAAGTACAAAAAAGGTAAAAATCACTCCAATATTCCATCACTGAGACATGTATCATTTTCTGCCATCTCTTAAATGTAATTAAATATGTATTACTTTACAAAAACAAGATCTTATACCTTTATACTTTTAAAAATCAAAAGTATTAAGTTTGCTTGAATTTAAATAAAGAAAGATTGGTTATGAGCTTATAGAATTTTTAATATTAAAAAATCATTATGTGAACTATTAAGTCTAAAGAAATTATTTTTGTTTAAGACCTTAAAATATGGGAGTTACCATCCTTTCAACTCTTATTTGTTTTAGACTCTGAGTTTTAAAACTACAGCTTGTGTTTCACATGCACTTTCAAATTATGTTCTTCAAAAATAAAATCAGAACTCACCAGGTGTTTTAATTATTCTTCATAGCCCTACTTCAGAGCTTTTGCCTTGTCCTGGCCCTACAAATCACCCCTCTATGATAAAAACTGTCTAGTATGGAGCAAGAGATGGAGAAGTTAAGGAGAAATGTAGGAGGATCAGATCTCCAGACAAGACTCATGTGGAGCAAAGTAGTGTGGTTTTCTGCTTATTTCACCCCTTCTTTTAGCAATAACAGTTTAACAGCTAGCTTTAGTCAGGTTTCTAGAAAACTAGTCTTCCTTCCACAACTCACCCTATACCATTGTGATTCTTGTTTAAATGAAATCTATCTCCTCTTGTATGTTTTTATAAAACTGCTTAAACATTGGAGTACAGGCAAGTGGAGTGCTTACAAAGCTGTGGGAAGTGTTGTACCACAGCAACACTGAGTACAAAACACCATGGCTTACACAGCTGCTCCAACCTACACACCTATTTTTCTCTTAACAGTGCAGGAGCTCATGTAAGACAGATCAAGGCCACACTAAAATCCTGACATTGTGTTCTTTAGCATCAAAACTCCCTAACCCTTCATCCTTTCCTACCCCAGTAGAACTTTCCCTTTCATCTGGACCATCTTATCTGATCATCTTGGTGGCTCCCTCATCTCTCTTCCCTTTCTCCCCTCCCAGCGTGCTCTGGCGTTGTCTTGAGCCTCAGCTGCACACAGCCCCCCTCTCTCAAGAATGTGCTTGCCTTGCTTTTGTCCTGTCTCTCATCAAAGAGTGCAGGAGGGGAGATGAGCAGACAGAATCCAGATGTTCTGCCAAAGGAGGAGAAAGGCAGAGAGGCCCCATTAATCTGATGGTTTGCGAATAGTCACACTGGCTTTGGGCTGGGCCCTTGGGAGATGTGGGAATAGTGGGTAGAAAGCAGATGGTCTGAGATCTTATTATCTCTCTCACATGCTTTTTCTACTGGAAAAAGAGAGGACAGAATGGGAAGTTAAGTATGTGGCGATAGTACCACTTTTAATTAGTCTTCCCAAATATTTTACAGAGCAGATTTTCTCAGCATTGCTTAGCATGAAATAAGGATCTTATTAAAAGATTGTTTTCTGCCTTAGCCCAAGTTTTTTTTGTTAATAATTCTGAGTGTGATTCGTGTGTGTGTGTGTGTGTGTGTGTGTGTGTGTGTGTGTGTCTAGGTGGTAAAGTGTTGGGTGGGAATTGAAGAGAGGAATAAAAAGGGGAGAGCAACAAGAAGAAAAGCATGCATCAGGTGCTTTAGAAAAAAAATCAATCCAAGCAAAAACATCCGAGACTTCTGTGAACAGCTGCAATTATAGCTGGAGAGGCTCTGCCTGCAGGAGCGGCATAGCAACAGAGCTCTCATTGGTCAGGCCTGTGCACAGAATAGTCCTATCACAAGGGCTTGCTGCTGTGCTCCTACAGGCACTAAGCCATAGCAGGCTGTGCAGGCCCTGCAAAAACTCACTCTGAAGACAGGAGTTGCTGGCCCTTGCATCCTGACAGCATTCAGGGTTGTTAGTTCACCACATAACACAGAAGCCTACTGCCTCTGCCTGT